TGAGGTTTCCTGAACAATGAGAAATCTCCTGTGGCCGCAGCTGGTTGTGGTTACACAGAGGCTGTGGCTTCCCCATTGTCTGTTGCAACAGCGACCTGCCCCCAGCTGGGACTGCTCCGAGTTCTCCAGATAAAATTTCCCAAATGACCACTTGATCGTGGGGTCTCCTGCTGCCTATGGGATAAGTGCAAACTTTGCATATTGAATTCCTGGGCCATCCTCGAAAGGGGCCTTTCTGGCATTGGCATATTGTGCCCCCTCCCTCCCCTCACCACCCAGGGCCACTGCATGGCCATCACATTTGATTCTTTCTGTTCTCCTGACACATCCTGCCCTTTCATGGCCTCCTGACTTCATGGTGCAGTGGGGGATGCCAGCCATGCCCTCTCCTCAGCTCTACCTGTAGGCATCCCACCATCCTATCAACCTCAGCTCAAACGTCCCCTACAGTGGAATTAACCACTCCTGCCTCTCTTCTACCACCCTGCCTCTCCTCATTACTCCTGTTTCTCTTGTGATGCTTTCACGCCCTCTGTCTGGAGTCTACTGTCCTTATATCTGTGTCTGTCAGCCCCAGCGGACCCTGCGCTTCTCATGGCAGGTCCTGTGGGGATATCTCTTTATGCTCAGTGCCTATGTATGCTGTTTCCTTCATCATGAATGGCTTTGAATAAGTAAATTAGAAAGGATTACCACTGGCCAGCACTATTGTTCCAGTTCATATTTGAACACATCTCATCCTCAGAACACAAATGCAAAATTATTGACATTCATGGATGTTTAGCAAGGTCATGCAAGGTCACATAGCTCATAATGGGTGGAGCCAAGATTTGGAACCAGAGTCTGTCTCCAGAGTCCACTCCTCAACCACAGCTCCTCACTCTATAAGCGAGTGTAGGGTTTGCCCACAAACCTGCCAATGGTGAAGAGGAAGGAATAAGATTGCTGAGACCAAAGTCCTATACTCACCATTCCCTTCTTTGCCCTCACCTGTTGTTGAGCGCCAAGGGCTTCTGCTTGTCAGCTGTGCCCATCTTGGGTTGCATGAGGTTTCCTGAACAATGAGAAATCTCCTGTGGCCGCAGCTGGTTGTGGTTACACAGAGGCTGTGGCTTCCCCATTGTCTGTTGCAACAGCGACCTGCCCCCAGCTGGGACTGCTCCGAGTTCTCCAGATAAAATTTCCCAAATGACCACTTGATCGTGGGGTCTCCTGCTGCCTATGGGATAAGTGCAAACTTTGCATATTGAATTCCTGGGCCATCCTCGAAAGGGGCCTTTCTGGCATTGGCATATTGTGCCCCCTCCCTCCCCTCACCACCCAGGGCCACTGCATGGCCATCACATTTGATTCTTACTGTTCTCCTGACACATCCTGCCCTTTCATGGCCTCCTGCCTTCATGGTGCAGTGGGGGATGCCAGCCATGCCCTCTCCTCAGCTCTACCTGTAGGCATCCCACCATCCTATCAACCTCAGCTCAAACGTCCCCTTACAGTGGAATTAACCACTCCTGCCTCTCTTCTATCACCCTGCCTCTCCTCATTACTCCTGTTTCTCTTGTGATGCTTTCACGCCCTCTGTCTGGAGTCTACTGTCCTTATATCTGTGTCTGTCAGCCCCAGCGGACCCTGCGCTTCTCATGGCAGGTCCTGTGGGGATATCTCTTTATGCTCAGTGCCTATGTATGCTGTTTCCTTCATCATGAATGGCTTTGAATAAGTAAATTAGAAAGGATTACCACTGGCCAGCACTATTGTTCCAGTTCATATTTGAACACATCTCATCCTCAGAACACAAATGCACAATTATTGACATTCATAGATGTTTAGCAAGGTCATGCAAGGTCACATAGCTCATAATGGGTGGAGCCAAGATTTGGAACCAGAGAGTCTGGCTCCATAGTCTACTCCTCAACCACAGCTCCTCACTCTATAAGCGAGTATAGAGTTTGCCCACAAACCTGCCAACGGTGAAGAGGAAGGAATAAGATTGCTGAGACCAAAGTCCTATACTCACCATTCCCTTCTTTGCCCTCACCTGTTGTTGAGCGCCAAGGGCTTCTGCTTGTCAGCTGTGCCCATCTTGGGTTGCAGGAAGAAGCTGGCAGCGATCCATACCTGCAGGATCATGAGACCCAGGACGATGGATATGGTGAGGCTGAAACACAGGGTGAGACCATCCTAGGTGGCCTTGTCCACTCTTCTCCAGCCCTTCTCAAATGCCCAGTGATAAGTGCCCAGTGAGATGCTGCCAGCCCGCCAGACCAACAGTAGCAATGAGCTCTGTGCTTTATGCCTACAGAGCATTCCACGTCCATTCTGCGGTGAGAAAATTGAGGCTCCCAAAGGGGCGATAACTTTCTCAAAGCCACATGGTCAGAGTTCTAGCTCTAGACCAGACCTTCAGGATCCAGGCATGGCAACTGGGACGAGTGGTTTAGCAGCATGGGAATCGAGGAAAGGAATGGGGCTCATGAAGGCCACGTGAGAGTGGACAGGGCAGGCTCTGCACCAGACTCATGGGCGTCTCTAGGTGAGTCTGGAAGCAAGGAGCTCAGAGCAGGGGGTGGCCAGGGAGCACCACAGCCCGTGTTTGCACCCCCTGAGCGGCAGTGTGAGCCAGTGGCTAAATGAGGCTTTGGTTTTAGATTGCCAGGCTCCCAGTCTTGCTTATCAGTGGACAAGATGCTTCACATCTCTGTACCTCTGTTTCCTCATCTGAAAAAGAGGGAGCTAAATAAGTCCCAACCTCCAAGAGTTCTTAGGAGAAAAAGCACATAGTGAATTCTCAATGTCAGCACTCACTTTTTATCTTTCATAAGGGGAAACTGAGGCTCAGAGAAGCAACCTACCCAAGTCATCTAGCTGATTTGTGGCGTTCACTGTGACGTGGGGGAGCCCTGGGTGGCACCACCGCACAGATCCCTCTCTCCTCCTACTACACTGTCCTCTCACTTCACCTCCTCTCCTCTGAACCTTCCCAGCTATCGAATGGACACATGCGTATCTGCCACAGACACCACTGGGACGGACCCCGTTGAACAACGAGAGTGGCAATATTTTGTAAACTGTAAGGTTCCTATTGCGATGTGTTGCTCTTCTGGCCCCTGCTTTGATCAGACCTAAGAGCGCAGTTCCAGGGAGTGGTGGGAGCTTAGCAGGAAAGGGGCATTTTGAGCAGCAGCTGTGAGGGCCCACCAGCTCCCAGGCCTGGGCAATGCCAGGAAGCCCACCGAGCACTTACATTCCAATGCCCAGTCCTTGGAGCATCTCCCGGCCCTGGTTGTGGATGATGGGCAACACCAGGCTGTACATGATCACCATGCCACACAGGCTCTGCACCACGTGGATACTGAGGTAGCCTGTGGGCCGAGGGAGCCGGTGGTCACTCAAGGCCCTTCGTGACCCAGTCACCTGTGTCCCTGTCTGCAGCCCTGATCCATCCTCCTGCCACCAAAGGTCCTGACACTTCTGTCTGTGCTGTTTCTTCTGCCTGGCATGCCCTCATTTTTCTTCCTGTTGACCTTCTGCTCACCCTGCCAGGTGTGGTTCAAATACCAACTCCACTAGGATGCACTCAAGCCCTGCCCAGGGTGTGGAGTCACTTCCTCCTCTGGATCACCACCGCCCTTGGCATACACACCCTGTGGGCTCGGACAGGTGGGGGTGATGATCTATATGACTGTGTGACTCTCCCTCCTTCCTGAAGGTCCCTCACAGGCAGGAGCCAGGGCTGCTCCTGCCTCACCTCTCTCCTCCCTGCCTACCCTCAGGCTCCGCAGGTGCCCAGGTAATGTGTGTTGAATTGAATGGGTCGCGTGATGGCACTTACCCCACAAAATGTAGGCTATTTGCCAGCCAGAGTACCTTGCAATGGCCGCCTGGGATTTAAAAAGAAAACGGGTCCCAGAGGGGAGAAAACCTTGATCACCTCGGACACGTGTCCAGCATCCCTGTCTCACTGGAGATTCATCCACCAACCCACTGAGGCATCTGACTGTCCTCATTTCACAGCTGAGGAACCGCATGATGAGAACCACTGTCCCATCACCCAGCAGCAGAGCGTCCTAGAACTGAGGCCTCTGGCTGCCACCCAGGGCTCCCCCACACCACGCTGCCCCTGTCCGAGGTGCAGGAGACAGGTCTCTGCAGACTTACCACACTCCCTGAGGAGGAAGGGTTATGGAACTTCAGAGGGAGAAAGTGTTTATTTCCTGCCCACAACCTCTTCACGTGCTTTCTAGAGAAAAGGCGGGAAATTAGTAATGTTCATAACCACAACTCCTCATGCATGCAGAGCTCAACAGATACAAACAGAAGGGCCTGCGGAGGGAGATGGTGGGCAGCTTAGCCTCTACTACTGACCATAGTTCATGCGATGGTTCTGATTAGCCTTAAAAATCTCAAGTTTATGCCGAAACCAGTTTGGCTCAGTGGATGGAGCGTCGGCCTGCGGACTGAAAGGGCCCAGGTTCGATTCCGGTCAAGGGCACGTACCTGGGTTGCGGGCACATCCCCAGTGGGAGATGTGCAGGAGGCAGCTGGTCGATGTTTCTCTCTCATTGATGTTTCTAACTCTCTATCTCTCTCCCTTCCTCTCTGTTAAAAAATCAATAAAATATATTTTTTAAAAAAATTTCGTTTAATACATTTTATTAAAATAATATACAGTTACCTAGTCTTCATGACGCTATTTGAGACTGTGTATGTGGCTTTTATTTTCTTCATTTTGCTCTACTTTTTGTATTTTTTCTACAGTGACTATAAATCATTTATGTAATAATACTTTAAAACAGATGAAAACAGGAAGCCATTTGTAATGATACTCCCAACTTATAACATAAAGGGAAATGAAAAGGGGGCAGCACCCCTCACAATCCCAGCACCCCAAGAAATCACTGCATGTTTTCCCAGTTGCTAGTCTTGGGCCTGGGCCTTTGCATAAAGACTAGGTTGGCAGAGTCAAGTTCATGGTCCAAATTCACATCTGGGTCCTGCTTTTTCAATAACATTCTATCTCCAGCATTTTCCAGGTGGTTTTGTCATTTCATGACCACTGAATTGGGAAAGCTTGGTATGAAATAGAGAGTGTAAACATCTTATTAATAGTTTGTATATTTATTACATGAGGAAGTGATGGTATTTGGGTTCTGTTAGGGTAAGCATTTCATTAAATCATTTTCACCTTCCTTTTTACTTTATTAGTTGCATCTACTAGAAAATTAAAAATGGCACCTATGGCTTTCACTGTGTTTCTGTCTGGCAGCCCTGGAGCAGAGTGTGCAACCAGGAATACAAACAATGTTTAGCTCAGAGGCAATACATTGAGGTCTGAATGGAAGAGTTTCTTTACACTGAATATTTTTTTGGTAACTTTAAAAAAAATAGCTTGTCTGTAAGTTGGAATAATTCCAAGAAAAATAAAAATACTGGCAAAACGCTTCCCAGGTTGTAGGGTGCTTTCTTGTCCATTATTTCCTCTGCTCCATCATCTACAACGGAAGCAGAGCCCAGATCATCACTCCTGGGTGACAGGTGTGGGAGAGGGAGCCAGCCGGGGCAGGAATGAGGCCTTCCCAGCACACGTGACTTCTCTTCCCTGTGCTCTCAGTTGCCCCCTGCCCATGTCCTTGCAGTCTGCTCTGCACAGTGGTTGTCCCTGGTCATGACCAAATGCCTCAGTGAAAATCTCCCAACGGCTTGAAGACTAAGCACGAAAGGAAGAGACATGTCCCTTCATCAGACGGCAGGGGACAACATCAGTGTCCAGTCCCCCCACAGGGCCCAGGGGGAAGTGAAGCTGTGGCCTCTTCATGCCAAGAGAGTCTTTTCTTTTGGATGCCACTAGCAAGAGACTCACCCTGTGGGCAGCCAGATGGTGAGGATGCAAAGGCAGGATATTCTGGGGTGGGGGTGGGGGTGGGGGGCAGGAAGATTGGCCCTGAGCTTCCTGTGAGTCAGTATGAGTTAGAGACTGAGACAGAAAGAGAGACAGAGAGAGGCAAAGACAAAGGCAGAGAAACAGAGAGGCCAGAGCTACCTGCATTCAACAGCTATCTGCATGCAAATGCTAGCTAGTATTGAGGGCCATCCCCTCCTCCTGCACTGACTGTGGTCCTTGAGGTTGAGGCCCCTGGTCCCCTTGACCCAATTTCCTCTGATGTCTTCTTGAGCCACATTCATCTTTTGATAGCCCAGTGCGATGAGTCCTGGAGAGGATGGGTCTGACACCCAAGAGAGTTGCCAAAGTGAACAAGAAATGTCAAGGTCTGGGGTCAGAAGACAGGATCAGCCATTACTTGCTTGGGTAAGATATTTTGTTGAGTCTCAGCTTTCTCGGCTATAAACATGGAGATGAAAGTACCCCTCAGGGCTGTGGTGAAAATGAAGATTCTAGCACAATGTCCAAATCATAGTATAGAAGCTCAAGTCAATAGTTTTGATTTGTTGTTTACTAACAATAGATGTGGTTGTCCCTGGACCTTGCACACACTCCTGGTTCCACTCCCGGTCACTGCTGGCACTGCTTGGGAATTCTTAGAAAATTCCATCAGATGCTTTCCTGGCTGGAGACACACAACAGACACCCTGAGCCCTCTTACCTGTAACAAGCCAAAATGTGGAATAGATAGCTCACACACGTGAGGAAGGCAGGAAAAATGGTAACCACCCAGACTCCTGAAACAGAACAGATGACAGGAGAGGCCTCCGAAGGTGAACTAGAAACAGTATTTTCAAAATGCAGAAACTCACATCAGAAAGGTCTGGGTAAAACATATTATACGTCCTTTAACACACTTCTTGTGTAAATACAGTTGTGCTTATATATTTCTGTTTCATTTTTAGCCACACACACACACCCTTGAAATACTTTATTTCCTGCACAGTCCTCTCCTTTGCTATTAATATTTTCAACCCATGAATAATGGGAAGAGAAAATTATGGCATATATACATTTTAGGTAGCTTCCATCCTTGTAAAACTTTATTGAACTTCTAATTGCCACTTTTGGGGAAAGGGGAGATGGTGACCCACCTCCAGTTAAATGGCAACCATGTGCAAGGCTGGTTTTACCTTTGGAGATGTTCATCAGCTCCTTCGCCTGCAGGAGGACTGGGGTCAGAGTCCCGGTCTGGTTCACGGAGGCAATGTAGCTCTCTAACTCGCCTTCAAATACATCCAGCTTGTCTCTCACATACACGAACACGCAGAACTCAATGACAATGAACTGGGGACACAGAGCAAATGCTTCAAGGTCTCACCCTACTCCAGCTTTTGCCCAGTATGTGAATAACTATGGGTCTTTGAGGTCAAAACTCTTTGAAGTTCAACACTCATCTGCAATAGACTCTGGACACTGGCTCTACTGAGGTGAATGGGATTGTGGCTTCCTTGTAGACGGGAGACACCGCAAACTCTGTTCTTCACCCCTCAGCGTACGAGACAAGGTCCCACAGGGCTCAAAGAACTCTTCAAACATTAATTAAGCCAGAGTGAGATAAATGCCTAATGTTGAATAAGGGGTGACCTTGGGGACAATTCCAGTCATATCTCATTGCTCCCCTTCTTGCATCTTAGTGATAACCAAAGTGAAGAAGGTACCATTTCCTATACACATGCCATGCTTGCTCATCCCCATCATCCTGTCATCATACCACGCTGCTCCCTCATTATACCATCCTGCTCCCATCAACTCTGGCCTTGCCATTTTTACCACTCCACTTTGACCCTGCTTTTGACCCAGTTTACCTTGAATAACTTTGACCACACGAAATGTTTTGATTCTGTGCTTAATAAAAAATTTATTGAGCCTTGACCAGTTTGACTCAGTCATTAGAGTGTTAGACCGTGGACCAAAGGGTTCAATTCCTGGTCAAGGGCATATAGCTGGGTTACAGGTTCAATTCCTGGCCCCAGTAGGAGTACAGGCGGGAGTTAACCAATCAATGTGTCTCTCCACACTGATATTTCTTTCTCTCTCCCACTCCCTTCCACTCTCTCTAAAAAAAATCAATGGAAAAAATATCCTCAGGTGAGGATTAACAACAAAGAAAGTGTAAAGGTGTGTGTGTGTGTGTGTGTGTGTGTGTGTATGTGTGTTGAGAAAGCAAAGTTAAATAATAGCCAAATGAAATAAGACATTTCAATTTTTGACCCTTTAAAATAATATAGTACATCAAGTTTATCCACTTTTATTTTTAATTCAAAAATTATTTGTCAATTATTTTATATTTAAATGACATAATTTTTATTTGGTTAAGTAACAGTGTAGCATAAAAGACCTCAATGAAGCTATTTTCTTTAGCTCTGCTGAAATAAATGTCTCGTAGAACTCACCAGTGAGCCCATCTGGGCCTGGTGCTTTCTTTTTTAAAGGTCATTACTCATTGATTCAAAGTCTTTTAATAGCTTTAGGCCTATTCAGATCGTCCACTTCTTCTTGTTTAAGTTGTGGCAGATTGTATCTTTCAAGGAATTTGTCCACTTCACCTAGGTTATCAAATTTGGGGGCACAGAATTGTTCATACTACTCCTTTATTGTTCTTTTAAGCCCATGGAATCTGTAATGATGTTCCCTCTTACATTTCTAACGTGTCCTCTCTCTGTTTTTGTGTCTGGCTAGCGGCTTGTTGATTTTATTGTTTCAAAGACCTAGCTTTTGGTTTCATTGATTTTCTTTATTAATTTCCTATTTGCAATTTCACAGGTTTCTGCTGTAATTTTTATTATATCTATCCAGCATATTTTGTATTTAATTTGCTCTTCCTTTTTAGATTCCTAAGGTAGGAGCTTAGAGATTGATGTAGATCTTTGTTCATTTCTAATATATACATTCAACGTTATAAATTTCCCTCTAAGCACTGCTTTTGCTGCCCTGCCCCTACACACACATTTTTGATAAGTGTGTTTTCGTTTTCACTTAGTTCATTTCATTTTTTAGTTTATTTTTAACTTCTCTTGAGATATTTTTTCTTTGATCCATAGTTACTTGGAAGTATGTTGTTTAATTTCCACTATTTTGGGATTTTCCAGTTATCTTTCTGTTATTTATTTCTAGTTTAATTCCACTGTGGTCTGAAAGTAGACACTGTGTAATTTATATTCTTTTAAATTTTTTAAGGTGTTTTATGGTCCAAAATTTGGTCTGTCTTGGTGAATTTTCCATGTAGTCTTGAGAAAAATGTGTGTTCTACTATTGTTAAGTAGTTGATGAATGTCCAAAATTCCAATTGATTGTTGGTGTCCATTAGAGTTCAGATTTCCCTACCTCAGCACTGATTCCCATGGGGTTTCTGCTCCATTCTGTTGTGATTCTCTATATGTACCTGTCTGTCTCTTCAACTTAGGGGCAATGATTTACCCCATAACCTCACTTCTCCTATGAAATAATAAAGGGTCTAAGAAGAGTTGTTGATTTTTTTTTCAGTTGGTTTAGGTTTTCATTTGTTGTTAGGATGGAATGGCATTTCGCAAGCTCTTTACATGTGGAATTAGCAAGTAAAGTCTCCATAAATAATTTGATTATATTTATTAGTAATGTTCACCACATGGGTAAAAGTGTCCTTGGAGTCAAAACTGTTTAATCTACAGAGATGAAATTTTGAGCCAGCTTTTTAAGAACAGCTCCTCTCCCAGCCCCACCCCATTTGCAAAGTAGAAAAGAATGTGCTCGGATCTACTTACGAGATACAGGCAGATGGAAGCCAACACGGTGGTTCCGATCATTCTGCTTGGGAACTGAAAGCAGGGGTCCCACTCGTATATCCTGCTTTGAAACCAAGACTTTTTTCTCTCTCTGTTAATGAGCAAACACCAAGAAAAGACAGGTTGTGGTTGGTAAACAAATGCCTAATTCTTCTAAAAATAACCTCGTTACCCCTCTTCATCTTAGATTTCAGTGAAGAGCAAAAACACTGGTAGATTCTACAGTTTCTATTCTCCCCTTATTCTTAAGAACAGAGACTGGGTTCTGTCTGGTGTAGCAATTCACCAAACTGAAAGGCTAGAGTTTCTGACCTCTCTTACCTGTAAGAGTGACCAAGACTAAGTACAGGGCAATTAGTGACCAGAGGGGTGGTGTGGGACTTTGGGGAGGGTGGTTAGATAGAAACAACACTGCAGAAGGGGCCCCATAGCCTTTCCTTCTTTTCTCCTGCCTGCCATCTGAAATGCTGGCATAGTAGCTGATCCAGACTGGAGTCCCGAATCGACCGTGGACCATGGACAACCTTCATGATGGAAATCACTAAAATATTGAAGCAGGAAAACAGATGATCTTGGTGCCATAGTGAGCAGCAGTCCAGGATCAATATGGACTGCAACCTCCAGAATTCTTTTAAATACATATATTTTTATTGATTTCAGAGAGGAATAGAGAGGGAGAGATAGAAACATCAATGATGAGAGAGAATCACTGATCGGCTGCCTACTGCATGCCCCCTACTGGGGATTGAGCCCCAATCCCGGCATGTGCCCTTGACCGGAATTGAACCCGGGATCCTTCAGTCCGCAGGACCCTTCTATCCACTGAGCCAAACTGGCTAGGGCCAGAACTCTTTTATATGAGAAATAAATCTCTCTCATTTGTGCCACTATTATTTTGTACTAGAGACCCAGTGCACAAGAATCATGCACTGGGGGGCAGGGGGAGCCCAGCCCGTACCCTCTCACAGTCCAGGAGCCCTTGGGGGATGTCCGACTGACGGCTTAGGCCCACTCTGGCTCTGGCTGAGTGGCGATCCCCCTGTGGGAGTGCAGTGACCACCAGGGGGCAGCTCCTGCGATGAGTGTCTACCCCTTGGTGGTCAGTGAGCATCATAGCGACCAGTCGTTCCGCTGTTCAGTTGATTTGCATATTAGCCTTTTATTACATAGGATTATTTGCTACATATAGCCAAGTGTAATTCTAATGCAAGTACTAGTTTTGCCACTGTGTGAGCTTAGATTAGACATGTCCCTTCTCTGAGGCATATTCTCTTGTACGCAGTGGCAGGGGTAAGGTGACCACTATGATCACTGAAGATCATGTACTTTTGCCTGGCCAAGAGCTATATCCTCTGTTATTGGTAATGGCATACGAGTTTTTCTCTGAGAATCTACTCCTTTCCCACCATCAGTCCTAAATGGGCAAGTGCAGCTGAACCACTTCCTGGGTCCAGTGGTAAACATGTGACCCAGCCTTTACAATCACTTTAGTCCAATCCCCCAGCCACAGTAACTGGTCCTGGAATGGCATTTGGTCCAATCTGACCCAATAAAACACATGCATGGGACTTTGGTTTGAATTATTAGATAGGAAAAATTCTCTTTCCTGTGAGCTTAAACCAGGAGGGTATAAGCTTAGAGATTCTGGGGGCCACCTTGGGGAGGAAGCCCATCTAACCAGAAAGCTAAGTCAGATAAAAGCAGAGTTAAGAGGGGATGAGGGACAGAGGCCTAGTTCTGCTGGATCCACCTAAGCTTGAAACTGACTACCACTAGACTTTTAAATTATGTAAAGCCACACGTTTCCCTTTTCTCATTAATCCCATTTGAGTTGAGTTTCTGTCATTAGCAAACAAGAGCCCTGACTAATACAGAAGACTTCCTGTCATCTTAGGGTCTCATGCTGTCAGGGCTCGTCCCTGTTGGTGGGAACACCAGTGGTGAATGAGTCAAACCATGGCTTACTGCAGGGGGGGCTTCCGCAGGAGCTGCTTGACATGCTCTGCCTGATGAATTTCCAGAAACGGCTTTTCTTCCTGTGAGAAAAGAGAGAGGGATATGCTTTGGCTCACAAATTCCTGTTGGAGTGTTGGTCTCTTTGAGGGCTATCACCACAGAGGGTAGGAATTTGGGTACCACTTGCTCTTTTGGATTCAGCCATTCCCAGACACCTGTTACTTAATGAAGTGAAGAGCAGGGTCCCGTCTCCTGTTTACCAAGCACTTGCTTTCATGAAGTGCCGGCGGTCTGGCTCCCCTGCCTCCTCTGCTTACTGACTGCACCAGTCACTGCTCTGGGAAGTCTTTCTTCTCTTTGAGATTTGGTGATTTCCCATCATAGTTCAAAACACGGTTTAAAATCCCATTGTTTTTACTTATTATAAATAGAAAGAGTTTCTTTCACTCATTTCTTATTCTGCAGTATTTTTAAAAAAACCCACTTTACTGATATGTTTTAAAATGTTTTCTCTGCCTGTCTGGTGTGGCTCAGTGGTTGAAAGTTGACCTATGAACCAGGAAGTCACGGTTTGATTCCCAGTCAGGGTAGATGCTGGGGTTATGGGCTTGATCCCAGCAGGGGCCTGCAGGAGGCAGCCAATCAATGATTCTCTCTCATCATTAAAGTTTCGATCTCCCTTCCTCTCTGAAATCAATAATAACAATAATAATTTTTTCTCCAAGTGTAATTAGCTTTTCACAGTACTCATCTATTCTGCTATATATGTTGAATATATACATTTTACATGCTATGAGATGAAATCTTAAATAATGCAGATATTAGGTAGAGTACAGAGGATCTGGTTAGAATTTTGACTGGTGAGTGACATCAATGAGATGGAGGAATAAGGGGTTCCAGCCCTCAGGCCACTCTGATACACCTATTTTGACAAATACCCACAGATGAGAGTAATTTTGTAGAAGCCCATGAGTGTACCGGAGAGGTTCCAGAACTCCAGTCAAGCAAAAACTCTGAGAAGAAATGCACTGAAGAGGGTAAGAAGAACATTTTCACTTTACCAGTGTCACCCATCCTCAAGGTGGCGCAGGTCAGTGCATAGAGAGATCCCCACCTTGGCCTGAAAATTCTCCCATGAGGGAAAGAGTAAAGGTGTAGAGCTTTTCTATGCAATTAAAGTAAGTTGTTATCAACTTAAAATAAACTGTTATAAGATGTTTTATATACGCCGTATAGTAATCACAAAGAAAAACCTGTTTTATACAAACAAATGATAAAGAGAAAGGAATCAAAGCATACCACAACAAAAAGACCCACACACATCACATCACAAAAAAAGCAAGAAATGAGGACTTACAAAACAGTCAGAAAACTAACAAAATGACAACTTTAAGTCCTTACCTACCAATTTCTTTAAATGTAAATGGATTCAATTCTCCAAGTCAAAAGACACAGAGTGGCTGAATGAACTAAAAAAACAACAACACCTCACACAAACATATGCTACCTTATAGGGGACTCACTTTAGCTTTAAGGACACACACGGGCTGAGAGTAAGGGATTGGAAAAAGATAGTTCATACAAATGGTAACCAAAACAGAGGAGAGGTGGCTATATTTATATGAGACGAAACAGACTTTAAGTCAAAACTGCCACAAGAGACAAAAAAATCATTATATAATAATAAAGCGGTCAATTCCTCAAGAGAATATAACAATTGTAAAGATATATGCACCCAACATCACGGCACCTAAGTATATAAAGTCATTATTAATAAAACTGAAGCGATAAATATACAGCAACTTAATAATAGTAGGAAACCTCAACACCCAGCTTTCAACAATAGATAGATAACCCAGAAAGAAAATCAATAAGGAAACAGCTTACTGGAACAGCACTATAGGTCAAAAAGACCAAATAAACATACACAGAACATTCCGTCCAAGAGCAGCAGAAGATATGTTCTTCTCAAGAGCACCGGGCCCATCCTCCAGGATACGTCACACGTTAGGCCACAAAACAAGCCTTCACAAGTTCAAGTATCAAGTACCTTTTCTGACCACAACGACATAAAGCGAGATATCAGTAACAGGAAGAAAACCGGAAAACTCACAAATATGTAGAAGTTAAACAATACATCCCTGAACAACCAACAACCAATGGGTCAAAGAAAAAAATCAAAAAGGGGAAATCAAAAAATATCTTAAAAACAAATGAAAATGGAACTACAACAGACCACCACTTATGGGATGCAGCAAAAGCAGTTCTAAGAGGGACGTTTATAGTGGTAAACGTCTACACTAGCAAAAAGAAAGGTCTCAAACAAACAGCCTAACTCTATACCTGAAGGAATCAGAAAAAGAACAGTGGTTAAGAAAAAGCCTCGACAACCAAACGGTCTGGGTTGCTTTTCTGGCTCTGCCACAGACTGGGATACGTGATCCTGGGCAACACATGTACTTCTTTGGGCCCAAGCTGCCTGCTACAGAACGGGCGGAGGGGTAATAGCACCTCCCGCACGGACTGTTGTGGAGACCAAACCTGTCAGGACGCGCGCAGTGCTTATACTTAGTACTCACCGTCTGCAGCTCCCAGCCCAGGTGGACCCTCAGAGACTTGACGAACATGTACAGGAAGCGGCCCAGCAGGAAGGACAGGCACAGCAGCGAGGGCCAGTAGAACATGACGGTCTGATACCTCCCCAAAAACTGCAACGAAGCAGACCACTGGTCACTGGATCTAGATGGGGCAGAGCCAGGCCCCTGATGAAGCTGTGGACAGGAGCCTGCCTGCCCCAGCCTGCTCCCACCAAAGCCCACTCCCAAAGCTTGGATTCCTGCTCCTCCAGCCCCACATCATTGGAAAGAGCAGGGGACTTGGAGTCCAGCAGCCCTGGATATGAGTCCAACACCCCCATTTCACTTTATACAAAGGGATTTGTTCAGATGAGGTGTGAAATGCTCCTTTTGGAAAATATAAGAGAAGGAGAGGGAAAGTAAGGGCGGGGGGCGGGGGAGAGAGAGAGAGAGAGAGAGAGAGAGAGAGAGAGAGAGGTCTTGCTCCTTTTCCTGGGGTATGGGACTAAACAGATGAACAGCTGTATCAGTCTCCCATTAATAGACAGGGAAACTGAGGCTACGTGAAGGAGTATAAAGAAATGAGCCCCTGATTCATCCATTCCTGGTCTCAGTGCCCAGATCTGCTGCATCTTAAGAGTTACTCCATATCCTTCAGATTCCTCACCTATAAAACAGGTTTGTTGAGAGCTTCCCCACCTTGAGGGGCTGCTATGGGCATTGACTGAGAGAATATCTCTCTGAAGTAGTACCTTGATGAACATAAGATACTATACAATGGAAGCAGCACGAATGGTTCCAACTCCCTTTTGTACACAGGAGAAATTGGAGGCCCATAGAATGACAGAAGCTTGTTCAAAGTCACACAGGACTCACCTGCCCATGGGGACACTGTGTGATGTGAAGAATGGTGACAGCAAACCTGCCAGAGAGAAGCAGGACTTGGGGTACTTCCAGCCCCTGTGACAACAGCCCAGATCGCCCCGGCCTGAAGTTACCTCCTTGACAGGGCTGGTTTCCAGGCCTCCGTGTATGCCCCACCCAGATCAGGCACCCTGCTTGTGCCTAAGAACATGCAACAAAATTCATTTAATGCCCTCAACTCGGACACAATCCCAGAATCCACAGCAGCAGAGCAGGAAGACCCTGAGCGGTCCCCCCATCCCTCCCCTTCACTCAGGTAGGGAAACTGAAGCCCAGAGATGGGAGGGGATTTGTCCAGAGTCACACCAGAGCCAGGACCAAGACCCAGGTCTCCTGACTCTGGGGCTGAGGCTCTGTCTGCCTGTAAACACCGCCCTGAGGAATGAGCCTCAAAGCTTTGCTCCTGCTGCACACACATTCCTGGTCATGTCCAAGCTTGGGTCTTCCTCCCATGGTGTCCAAGCTGCGGCGTGACTCCTGCCACCCTGTCCTCTCCTGGTCAAAGAGTCTGTCATAGGCTGAGACGTTACTCCTCAGCTAACACTGAATATCCTCTCTTGTAATTTTTTTTAAAAGCAAGCCACTTATACACTCTGGAATTGCAGCCACTGGCGTGCCAGTCACTTGTCAGCCCCCTGCATGCTTCAGACACTGGGCCTGGAACCCCTGCCCTCAAAATGCTATGAGGGAGGCAGGCCCCATAAGGAGAAGTGGACAAGGAAATGAGCCTAGCAGGACTAGAGAGTGGAATTGCCCAGGGGATGATTCAATGAGCAAACATTCCCTGGGGCCAGGTCTGCTGGTCCAGTGCCGAGGGCACAGAGCTGACAGAAGGGTCAGGAAGCTCCCACTGTGGTGGCAACAGTCCACAAAGGATGAGCACATGTCCCTCCCTGGGCCGGGTGGGGGAAGATAATCCTCCCGGGGAAGAGAAACACGGAGACAAGGCGGCCAGAACACGTGGTCACGAGGGGCTTGTCTCGTTTTCCAGTATGTTCCCTGGCTCGTCCAGTTTGCTAAATGAGTAAGAGGATGATGAAGGAATGCAGGTGTACTGTATGACCTGCATACATGCCAGAGACTGGTTAGGGGGTAGGAGAGAGACAGGAGAGAGACTGAGGCACATGCACTTTCTCCAGGGAAGCCACAGCTCAGGGAAGCAGCATCCACAGGAGACTCCTGCTGCCAGCAGTGGGACCCTCGCAGTTTATGGAAATGAATTTTTCTACATCTCTGAATACTGGGAATGTGTGAATCATGAATGGCTGCTTGCGAAGCAGACAGAATGCTGGCCTGACAGTGAGACTGTGGACCAGTCATTCCACCTGCCCTGGGCCTAAGTTCTGAGCAAAGGTACACTCCCAAGGAGAGCTCTGAGGTCACCGCCAGCCCTTTGTCCAGGGTTCAGCAACGGCCTAAGGAATTGTGGGAGGGCAGGCAGGCAGAGTCTGTCTTACCAGATCAGAGAGTAGAGGAAGCCCAGGATGGAGCTGACCAGCTGGAACTCCGATGAGAGGCAGGCAAAGAAGGGGAAGTGGGACAGGCCGACTTCGAAGCCTCCAATCAGAAGCACAAAGGCTGGGAAAGACAGGGCCAGAGATGCTGTGAGTGCCTCTTCTCACGGGCTCAGGGGAGCCCCAGGGAAGCTAAGGGCTTTGTGCTGACTTGCCATCATGGACCTCAGGACCCAAGGAGATGAGTGGAGGAGCCCCAGCTCAGCACAAGGAGGAATGCAGGAATGTCTTTCATTCATTCATGCAACAGACCCTCCTGGTACCTCTTCCACGCCAGGCACTGGGCTAACTGTTGAGATGAAGAAGACTTGCTCCCTACCCTTGATTAGCTCACAGTAAAGTGGGTGGAAACAGACCACATCAACGAACAAACAAGAATCACCGAGAGAAAACTGGTTGGACAGAGAGGTTTGAAAGTTGTCATATTAGGGATGGTTGAACCTGTAGATTAAAGTTGCCACTTCAGGGGGAGCATGAGGCATGGAGAATGAAGAGGCCCCAGACCAACGGCCAAAGATGATCTGCTCTTTGAGGAAGTATCTGAGGGCCTATTGATAGTAAGAAGGCAGCCATGACTATGGCTCAGGAGAGATTTTCAGGGTGGGTGGTGGTGAACCTACTTTCTGAGCCTTTGCTCCACTCTGTCTAAAGAACCTCTGCCTCTAACTAGGAGAACGCCCCCCACACAAGCTTTGAGACTCTGTGGGCTAGGCACTGATGTCAGACAAGTAACAGGCTGGGAAGAACACTGAGGTCCCTCACAGAGCTTACCCTCTGACCCCAGAGAACCCCTGCATGCTGTCTCTGAGAGCAAGAATGTCCATGGTTAAACTCCCAGCAGCTATGAGGCGGCCCTGGTACCTTGGGCCCACTGCGGGATCTGCAGGAGCTGGGAGCCTTCTGAGAACAAGAACATGACCTTATTGGCTGTGGCTCCGAAGGCAATTCCGTAGGACCATCGGTTACTAAAGGTGCCCACGAAGTCCAGAGGTCTGTGAACAAGAGAAACAGTTCATGAGGCCAGAAGGTGGCTCCGAGACATCCCACATTTCATCTCCAAAGTCCCAATCCCACCTTGAAGATGAATGATTGGGGAGTGAACTATTCATTTCAGATGACATTTTCTTAAGCCCTCTGTGCCAATTCTGGGGCTAGGCAGGGATTCAGGGTACTGAAGTGAGGAAGACAAAATTCTTTAAAATAAATTTTTTATTGTTGACAGTACTATTACAGATGTCTCCTATTTCTCCCCCTTCTACCCCTTCCGCCCAGCCTCTAACATCGCCTTCACCACACTATTGTCTGTGTCCATGGGCTATGCATGTAAGTATATAAGTTCTTTGGTTTATCTCAGGAAGACAAAATTTCTTCCCTTATCTAGGAGGAGACAAGCAAGGATACCAGTAGCCATGACAACAAGCAAAATGGGATGAGTTTCATCTATGGGAACACAGGTAGTATGACTCAAGAGACCAAAGCAAGGAGTATGTCCCAGACAGGCGTGGGAGAGGCTGCCCGGCATCCAGCCAAGGTCTATGAAAGTTCTTCTTCTCAGTGTCCCTGGGAAGGTCTGGGTATCATTGGCTGTGCTAGTTCTACGTGATCACGCCTTTCCTAGCTACAGCTGATTGGACTATGGGTGACCACCTGCCTTTAGATGGGCCAATCAGACGTCTGGTCTTAAATTTCAGATTTGTGGCCCTGAGGACATGAGTCAATCAGCTGTCAATATTCTGTTGGCATCATGCTAGAGGCAAGCTGAGGTTTTAGGGAAGCAGAGATCCTGCCAGGTGGCATGGAGGAAAATGGTAAACGGTGCTGAGAGCGCCACAGTGACACAGAGAGGCAGACACAGAGAGAATCCGTCTCCCAGAGATGCCCATCTCAAGAGCCCCGGTTCCCATGAGTCCAGCCTTGCAGTGAGACCTCTGTAACTTCATAAAAAACCCTGTTCTCATTTTATGTAAATAAGCTATTAACTATCTGTTTCTCCTAATCACAGGAGACCAGTCTACATCAGAGTAAGCAATTGCAATTGGATAGAAGAGCAAAGGCTTTCCCAGCAGAGTGTCACTTGAGGCAGGCCTCAATGAAATCTCAGGGTGGTGTGAAGAGCAACCTCACCTTCCTGAGCCATTTGCCTCTCTCACCTTCACCTCCAAGGATCAGCTCACGAAGCACCTCTTCTTTGAAGCCTCCCTGGCCACCCACTCCCAGTCAGGCACATCCAGTGTCCCCTCAGTCGTAAGCTCATGTCCGTGTTTCCCACACCTCCCTTTGTGTTATCACTTGTTTCGTAAAACATAAATGCCTCCGGGGTGGAGACCTAGCACAGGACCTTGATATTAGGTGCTCACCGCGTATGCGTGGACACGCACTTGGTTGCACTGAGTTGGATTTGAATCAATCTCACCTGCAGTGCGTGGGAGCTCTGTGAGACTCTGTTTCCCTATCTTTCAAGCAGAGATGGAACCCCCTGCTTTGCTGTATCATCGGAGCAGCGAATGAAGAACTGCCTGATAACCGTGGAGCACCACACACATGTGAGGGCTGATCAATGAGTGAGGATAGTGAGCCAAAACTACTCAGAAAATCAGAGGTTTTGATGGAAAAGTGGCCATGGAGTAAGTGAACTGTACCATTAACAATTTAATTCAAAACTGTCCAATGTGATCCATATAGAGTACCTACCTTCTAAAGAGTTCTGCACCAGGCCCTACAGGCCAAATGTTCAGGGCAGAGTCTGAAGATCTTCTTTACCCACCAGCCTTGGCCTTTCTCTGTGCCCCAACCAATGTGGCTTAGACTTGGCATCCTGAGATGGGCTGACTGCTCCAATGGGTGGTATCCAGAATGAACTTGCTACTCTGTGCTGGCATACAGGGTCCTTGGACATTGCAGTTAGATTTCTCTCTCCCTGAAGCCCAGGTCTTCTCTAGCCTCGGTCCTGACATCCTGGTCTCCTCTCCCTTCCCCAGAGGCCAAAGCTAAGGTCTCGGCATGTCCACATGCTTGAGCCTGCTTAGGTTATGACGCTGGGGGAATTAGAGCAAATATCAACCAGACCTGGGTTAAAGCTCTTGTCCCTTACTAGCTGTGTGGCCTTGGGCATGTCACTTAACCTCTCTGAGCCCAAGAGGACTCATCCATTACATGAACATAACCACTTTCACCATGCTAGGCTGGCAAGAGGGTTCACTGAAGTAATGCAGGCAAAGCAAATAGTTCAGTGTCTGGGTCACAGTTGGTGTGCAATAAATGTTAGCTGCTTTATTATAGTTATTAGAAATATTAATAAATATTGATAATGATGAAGAGAATGAACAATTAGACCTTAAGGGAAAATGTGGTCAGGGGTGCAGAGACTCAGAATAGCAGGGCTAGAAAGGCCCTGAAAGTGCCCTGGTCTAGTGGGCTCTCCTGGTGCAGGACTCATGGTGCCATCCCAACAGAAGGCATGCTGCCATCAGGGACAGGGAATGCACTTCCCCCTGCTTCCTGGTGTAGCCATAGTGCTGACTGTAGGAAGATCTGAGCCTCCTTGAGATGTTTTACTAGTAAGCATATCTGGGCACCCTTGGGTGCCTAGGATACAATGGCTTGGAAGCCAATTCTGAACTCTCAGGGCTTGGTTTGGGTTGGGGCAAGGCTGTCCACAGGGAGGCAGAGGTTGGGTGGAGGAGGTAACTGGGAGTTATCCTGGCCTGACAATTGGTGTTGGCTCCAATCACTGATACCAGAAGCTGCAGTGACCAGCCCTGGCTCTACTCACATGATAATTCCAAAGTGGTTCCCCAAGAGGTAAGAAGTGTCATCTCTCTGTTTGCAGTGCTCCCGTCTTTGGAGAAAGGACAAGACCAAAATGATGAAAAGCTACAGGGGAAGAAGATGAGAGGGTCAGTGGGAATATTCATCCTGGGCGTGGCCTTGGTGTCAGCTCTGAATGACACGTGTGGGTGAGCAGAGCACTCAGAATGTGTGCTCTGCTCAAACGCCAGAGGCACAGAGTGGCTGCACACACCCTGGAGCTTCCAGAATGTTTTGTAATGAGCTTTCCTTTGGGTTGCCCTGAACAGATGTGAGCTTAAATCTAGTATCTTCCATATACTGGCTGAGAGAGAGACTTAACTTCTCTGAATCTCAGTTTCCTCATCTGTAAAAAGGGGAAAATAACTGTCAGGGGAAATAACTTCTTTGCTTTTTCCTCCTTGTGGATTCAGTCATTTTCTCACATAGTTGAGGCCCTTTCTTCTTCTTTTCTACCAGAAACTTCTTAAGACTTGTCTACACTTGCTGACTCCATTTCTTTGCCTCTCACTTGCTCTTCAACCTCCTAACCTGCCCTCATTGCTCCATGGAAACAGCTCTGGCTAAAGTCACTAATTACCATCTTGTTGTTTCATATGATGTAAACTTGAAGCTCAACTCTGGCTTGACCTTCCAGCAGCATTCCTTCCACCTCCTCTTCTTAGAATCACTCCTCCCTAGCCTTCCATGCTTTCCTGGGTTTTCTCCATTACGTCTCAGTCTCCATTGTTAGATCATTCTTTTTTTTTTTAATATTTTATTGATTTTTTTACAGAGAGGAAGGGAGAAAGAGAGTCAGAAACATCGATGAGAGAGAAACATTGATCAGCTGCCTCCTGCGCACCCCCTACTGGGGATGTGCCCGCAACCAAGGTACATGCCCTTGACCAGAATCGAACCTGGGACCCTTCAGTCTGCAGGCCGACGCTCTATCCACTGAGCAAACCGGTTAGGGCTGTTAGATCATTCTTTATCCAACCATGAGATTTGGAATTCCTCCTAGTTCAGTCCAAGGAACACTCTTCTTATTACCCGATCCTCTCTTCCTCAGCAATCTCATCCATGTCCATGCTTTCCATGACCACCAATACACAGAAGACTCACAAACTTGATCTTTAGCCCAGACATGTCCTTGAGCTCCATAACTGTTCCAAATACACAGTTGGCATTTCTTTTTGAAAGATTCTTGAATTCAGTACATCTTACATGAAACTCATGATTTTCCTCCCTGCCCAATTCCTTCATCCACCCCAAACCTGGACCTCTTCATATCTTCCTTAACTAGAAAATGGCAGATACCACCATCCTCCCAGCTGTGCAAGTTAGAAACCAGAGTCATCCTCATCATCTCCCTCTCCTTAACTTCTCTATCCAATCCATTACCGAGTCCTATTGCTTTTACTCCCAAATGTCTTGAGTTGACCACCATCATCTAGGATGAGGTAAAACTGCCTCTCACCTGGACCCCCACAACCATCTCCTAACTGGTCTTTCTGTGGCCTCTCTGGCCCGCCTCCAACATGATCCCAACACTGCAACCAGAGTGATCATTTCAAAACATAAATCTGATCACACCACCCTCATGCTAGAAACACTCTAATTACTTCCCATTGTACTTAGAATAAAGACAAAACTCCTTTACACAGAGCCCCACAGTGCTCCTCCTGGCCTGACCCTGCCCACCTCCCTGGATAGCTCCACCTCAATTCACCCCAGCCACACCAGCCCTCCCGGTTACTCACACTCTCCAATCCTCCCCGCAACACATACGCACACAGAGAACCTTTGCACATGCCCTTCCTTTCGCCTGAAATGCTCTCTCTTGCATCTTCCAATAGAACCCAGCTCCATCATTGCTTCCCTGAAAAGCCAGGATCTCCGACTCTACACCCTTAAAAGCCTTCTTCTGCCTGTGTTTCTAGTGTATAACGTCAAGAAATCTGCTGACCTCTTCAGGCCCCTATGGGAGCTTGTGGGTGGGAGCAGCCCAGTTCCTCTTCCATCCCCTCCTCCACCCTCTCCTGCTTTACTTACTGATGGGATGAGGGAGTAATGGAGAAAGAGTTCCATGTCCACCAAGCCAGTGCAGGTGCCATTTAACTGCCTTGTCCTGGAAAATGGCCAAAAAACACATTCATATCATCGGTCACTGCTGCAGGCGTTCGCCCTTCGGTCCTGACCATCACTGTCGGGAGTCTGGCTTGCAGTCCACTAAGATCATCTGATCTTTTTAAATTTTGCTTTCTCAGAGCCAGTACTACCCACGTGTGATGTACCTTCCCCAAGTGGATTAACCTTTTTTCCGATTTCTTTCTCCACCCTGATCGTCTACCCAACCGCCCTGCTAACTGGGCCTAACTCCTTCCTTTCTTTTTCTTTTTTTTAAAAAAAATATATATTTTATTGATTTTTTACAGAGAGGAAGGGAGAGGGATAGAGAACCAGAAACATCGATGAGAGAGAAACATCGATCAGCTGCCTCCTGCACATCTCCTACTGGGGATGTGCCTGCAACCAAGGTACATGCCCTTGACCGGAATCGAACCTGGGACCCTTGAGTCCGCAGGCCAATGCTCTATCCACTGAGCCAAACTGGTTAGGGCACTCCTTCCTTTCTTGATGACACAGTCAGGGACAGATTCAGGTCCTGTGGGGCCCAAAGCTTATATCATTTGGACATCCTTTTCAAATGTAACTACAAAAATATCTTATTTTCTCCATGTTTTAAGGAAAACATATGACCATGTAAACACTGAACTAAGGTGCCCCCACCCTCCAGCAGCCTTGGAAGCGTCCTGAGGAACCCTGAGACTTAAGTTTCCATAACTTCGCAGGAAACCAGCCTTTGGACACAGTTTTCCAAAAACAGAGGTCAAGAAGCGTCAGCTCGCTTCTGACCCACGCTGGGCCCTTGGGGCAGAACAGCGGTTATCTGGACGATAGAGTGTGGACTCTGTCCTCTCCAGGCTTCAGTCTGCAGGCCAGGGCTGCTGGGGTCTCACGTCTGAAACACGTGACAGACAGTTTTGTGACTTCTCTTCAAAGGGACCTCCTTTCTGGGGCTCTCACCACACTTGCTCGTGCTGCTCTAACTTCCACCGCACCAGCTCTGCATGCTCTCACACCTCCAGATCTCTGCTCACTCTGTTCCCTACCCCAGCAGCATCCATCCAGCCGTCTCCTGTGCTTTCTTCCCTGGCCAGCTCCTACTTTTCCCTCAGAAGTCTCAGGGGAGAGCACTCCGCTGGGGAGCCCTTGAGCATGACACATTGCCCCATAATTCTTTAAAATTCCAGTGCTCCCCGGTTTTGTCTAACGATGAGTCTGGAACATCTAGAAGTGGAGGGGGTTGGGAGGAGCTTAAGCTGTCAGCAATGTGATAGGACTGTAAAGCTCAGACTCTGGCTTTCAGGAAGGTCAACTGAGCACATACATCAGTCTCCCCTTCCCATAAGAAAACCATCAGATGTGATTTTTTAAAAAGAAAGAAAATATGGCCATATTTGAAAGCAAGAAGAAAACCTATCAGGGACACAGACCCTGAGCAGTGGAAAGAGATTGGGACCAGATCAAAGAGAAAAAGCATCAGCCGACACGGTCCAGGCTGTGGGGCCGGTCGAGAAGTGCTCGACACCGGAGTGCAGGAGGCTGAAGCAGGATGGGGCTGCCCACTGACCACAGAACGATGGCCTGGGATTGATCGGGTACCCAAGTGTCCTCCCACCCCAGCTGACCAGCGGGGCAGTGGTGTTTAGATCTGAGGGAGTAGTACCTACGGGTCACTCAGAGAGAGGCAGTGCCCAGATCACAGGTGGCACCTGGGAGGGACCAGGAGTTCCAGCTTCCAGAAGGCCAGCTCCTGAGGCACCCCATCTAGGGATGCCCCACCCCACCCACTGCACTGAAAGAGGCCTTGTACTGGCAGCAGCTGCCACCCTCCCACAGCTAATATCCCAGGGGAAAGCCCCATCACAAAGATGAGCAAAGAACCACCAAACATCTAAGGAAAGATGACACCACAGAAGGGAGCCAGAAAGTCAATAGACAGAGGAACTTACTCCCGAGGAAATAAAGTCAACGCAGAATAGAGGGGATTCTCTAAACAAAGACTTAATCAAGGAGGAAGGAGAGGGGTACAGAAAGCAACAGCAGGCAAAGAAATTAGCAAAACTTATGGTTGATCCTGAGCACAGAATTTTACATATATATTTATATATAACAAACTTATCCTATAAATTTACATTTATATAAGTTACATAAAAATAATATAAATATTCATATATTTACACTTATATTATTGACAATGTAACTAAATTTATAAATGTGAATTTATTACATAAATAAGTTTATGTATGTATATATAGACCATTTTTAGAAACACAATTACGCAAAAGACCCTCTCTGAAACAAATATTGGAGGAAACTTTCAAGCAATAGGAAAAATACATCTAAATGGAGAAGGATTTAAAAGCAATCATGGCCCAGCCTGTGTGGCTCAGTGGTTGAGTGTCAACTTATGAACCAAGAGGTCCCTGGTTTGATTCCCGGTCAGGTGAGTTCAAGGAAGGTGGGTAGTACAGCCCTGTAAATAAGGGGTCCTCAGCTACGGAGGCTGGTGCCACTGGCCACGCTTCCGCTCCAGCAGCCACTTCGGTGAACACATGAAGCATGCACCCGAGTCAACCCAACTCAGAAAGCCACGGAGACACTGTCTTGGTCTCTGAGGCCCACGAGGCTTCCTTGTGAGTCCGGGGCTGGTGGGGCAGGTCTGGTGCGGGGTGGGTAACACCTGCTGGGCAGCAGCAAACCAGCACCCCTAAATCTAGAAGGCCCACTTTCAAGTGGTGATGCCTTGGAAATGCGTTTATGATACGCTGTTAAATGGAAAAAAATGATAAAACAGTATGATCCCAGGTTGTGAAGTGGTGGAACTAGTAGAAATCTTTTTCCTTTCTTTTCCCCTGGAAAACAGCCTCCGTGTTCAGTGAGGATGATCCTCATTCTCTCTCCACTGCCTGCTTTTGAATAGCTCTGGCCAAAGGAAAGGAGACTCTCGCTGGCTGTGTTTCTAACTCCTCAGACCCCAGACCGTTTGCTCCTCTGTTTCCTGGAGTGTCTCGGGTCAGCTATTCCCCGGGCTGAGCACCCCTTCCCAAGCCTCAATCAAGCGCCTATTGCGGGCAGCCAGCTGGCATCCCTGGCCTCCTGCTAGGTGTGAGGTGTCAGGAGCTCCCCTACCCTGTACTCCTGACCACACAGTGGACTGAAGTCCTTCACCTGGTTAACCAGTAGCCAGAGCGGCTGCCCATGCCTGGCCCCGTGACCAGTCTCCCACTTCCATGCTGCTAGCAGGGTGGCCCAAAGCATGGCAGCCTTGCCCAGAACCGTCCCGCTGCCCTCCCCAGCCGCCAGCCTCCTCGGAGGCCCTCCTGAAAAGAGGCCCAGCCAGGAAACCAGCGGCGTTTGCCCCAGCCCTGGTGCTCAGTGCCAGGCTCAGGGGACTCATGGGTCTCAGTCTAGTCAGTTGTTAATTGCGAAGTTGGACTTAGCCCGCTGTCACAGCAGCCAGCCCACTGTTTAGAAATGTCTTTTTATGGGTCTATGTCCCCAGTGGATGGGGAGCTTCTCGGGGGCATTCATCTCCACGTGCCCAGTTCCTAGCCTGACATGTGGCACTAGCAGGTGTCACTGATATTCCCAAATGGATGGGTGGGAAGCTAACATTTCTCCAGGGCCTGCTGTGAACCAAGCTTACCCTTTAAGGGTTATCCTTTTATTGTTAACTAACTTCATCCTCACAGCAGCCCGGAGAGAGAGGTCCTGTTATCAACCCATTTCACAGGTGAGGATGAGGAGGCATCAAAAGAAACTTGTCTAAGCTTACCCAGCTGGTGAGTTGGGGAGCCAGGACTTAAAACTCGGGCAATGTGGATGATGTAATTCCAACAGGCGGCTGTCTGAAGGAGGGGGAGCAGGTGGGAGGACCAACAAAATAAGACTGCCGTGCGTTGACGACTGTTGGAGCTGGGTGGGAATGTGGGGGGGGGGGGGGGGGGGGGGAAGTACACTTCTTTTTGTGAGTGAAATCCACGGTGAAATGACAGGCTGTCTGAAGGAGGGGGAGCAGGTGGGAGGACCAACAAAATAAGACTGCCGTGCGTTGACGACTGTTGGAGCTGGGTGATGGGAATGTGGGTGTTCTTTACACTAGTCTCTGCTTTTGTATAAGCTTGCACACTTTCCTAAAAAGTAGTTTATGTTTCTCAAATAAAACTAAGTCTATGACTATCATACAACCCACAGAGGCTGCCTGCCACCTTGCTGACAGTGTCTTTGGCCCACTCCCCTCTCTCGCCCCCTCCATTGCCCTCAGGCCTGACTCTGACAGCCTCCCCAGAGAGTCGCCTGCATCTCTGTCCACCTCGCTCTCTAATTGCCTGTTGGTTTGTCTCCGTCTGTCACTTTCTGTGACTCTGAGAATCAGGGAAAAGTTCTACAGTGAAAGACAGAGACTCTCTTTCAGAGACTTTTGTCCAGAGACTCTCTTTTCTCTGTGTGTCCAAATCTCTGTTTTCTTCTTTGCCTCAACCTCTTCCATTCATTTTGACCTTGCTGTGCAGCTAGGGAAGGTCAGCTCTGGGTCAGTACCCTGCCTCAGAGGGCGTGTCTTGGGGTGTTTCTATGCTGATGTGGGTCCTCAGGTCGGCCTGGAGGGAAAAGCCGGGATTTGGAGACAGACACCTTGAGATCTTGGGTGAATCATTTCTCCTCCTGAAGCCTCGGCTGCTTTGTCTGTAGAATGGGAGTGATGCCACCACTTCCCTGGGTCGTTAGAGAACGAGTAGGAATGGCGCTTTGTTAACTGAGAAGCGCCACGCATGCTGGTTCTCGGGCCTGCTTCCACCTTCCCTACAACTACCTCCCCCCCACACACACTGTGTCACAAGGTGGGAGTGGGGACTCCAAGCAGCAGCCTGGCCCCCAGCAGACTCTGGGGTGCTTTCCTGGGGTGGCACCGGCATTACCAAGAGACACGGGAGCCCCTGTACCAAGGAGCTGGATACCCTGGCTGGGTGCCCTGGCTCCACCAGAACTAGCTGGTTAACCATCTCAGAGAAACAGAGTCAGCTCGGCCAGGTCGGCAACAGAGCTCTCCCCGGGGGCCCAGCGGTGGGACCTTCCCCGTGCCAAGCTACAGGCACCGCGGGAAAGAACGGTGCTTTACAGCTGACGCAGCATCCCCATTCTCCAGGCCTCGCGGATCCTCAGAGCGAGGTCAGAGAGAGGCTGTCACAGGCCCACAGTGGGGCTCACACACAGGCACTAACTTAAGCCATGAGGGTTAGAGATTAGGTATCAGTTGGCCTTTAGTGTCTGGCCTGTCTTTATTCCATTTTCTCCTAGGACCTCCCTGCTTCCTCCTCTGTGCCCAGATCTCTGTTTATTCTCCTGTGCCTTGACCTTGCCCATTCATTCTGAGCTTACGGTACAGCTCAGAAAGGTCAGCTCCAGGGGGTGTGTTTCAGGTGCTTTCACACATGCCTGAAAAGTTTGGAGAGAGCGACATGAAAGAAAAGGTGCTTGAAGAAGACAGAAGCCCAGTTTTCTACTCCCTACCATGCTTAACTGTCCAATAAAGCAACATTTGTTTTCATTTCTTTTCACTTAATAAAATAATAATAATAACTATCACATACTGAAGGTTTGCCACATGCTGGACATTGAACTAAGGCCTTTATGGTTATTATCTCACTTAATCCTTTCACAATTTAGGCAGCGCGGATTATTATTCCCACTTCATGGATGAGAAAACTGAGGCGTAGAGAGAAAGAAGTAAATGCCCGAAGTCACTCAGCTAGAAAGCAGCAGAGCTATCATTTGAACCCTTGTTATATTTTCTACACAGGAAACATATTCACACACAAAATTACATTAAGACATTGAAAAGGGTTCTGTGTCTGTGGTCCTTGGAGAAGACAGGGACCCCTTATCTTCACTGGGCAGACAAGTTTCACAACATGCTCAGGCCTGAGCCCGCCCTGTAAGAAGGGCCCTGGCCAGCTAGCCCACGTCCAGGGAGATGACCGTGATGGAGAGAAGGTCCTGAGAGGGATGCGTGGAGAGTATGGTGCTGACGTCAAATAAATGTCAGGGGCCCAGAGGCCACACTGGCACCTCAGGTGGGCCAAGTTCTTTGGGTTCAGCCCAACTTTTCTGAGTCCAGACCATGAAGCCAGTTGACTGCCTCTTGGTCATCTCCTTTCGATGTCCCATGGGCACCCCAGTCCAACATGTCCCAATGGAACACCCCCTCCAACCTGCTCCTCCTCTGGGGGCCCTCCCCTCAGGAATGGCACCATCATCCACCCTTTAGTCTAAGCCAAAGACTGAGTCATCCTCAACTCCTTCCTCTCCAAGTCACTCCCATTCAAGCCCAGTCAGTTCAACCTCTCCAATCACTACCAAATTCAGATACATCTCGATCCCTACAGCCCCCTGCTTAGTCCAGGCCACTGTCATCTTCACCTGGACTTTGCAGTAGCCTCCTGCCAGGTCTCCTACCTCCAGCATTGCCCCTCTCCAACCCATTCCCCACTCTCTGACCAACTTCCTAAGAGTCCATATTCCAGCACATCACTCCCCTGGTCCCTCTCAGCCCAAGGAACCCAGCTGGAGAGAGAAGAGAGAGAGACCAATTCCCTTGGGCTTTCTAGTTCATGCCCCCACCCACCAAGCTGACTCCCTGCTCTCGGTCCCCCTGTCCATCAAGCTGATCTCTGGTCTGTTTCCCGTCACGTGCCCTTTTCCATGCACTGCTCTCTGGCTCCCTCCCGCCTGTGCCTGTGCCTGCAGGGATCTCCTTCTCCAAGTGACTCTCATGATGCCTGTCTGTGTCCTCATGACTCCTTCTCTCCCTTTGCCTTCCACAGCATCCCCTGACAAGCTACACGGATGCACCGTAACCCCAGAGAGCAAAGGTTCTATTTTGTGTATATCTGGAGTAGTCTTTTCCTTTCTTAGATCTTAGACATTTGCATGGCTGAATGAGAACTCTTCATTCCTGACATCTGGGCAGGACTTTCCACCTCTCAAAGTCCTGTCACATTCTGTTCTCGGTGATCTCCACAAAGCTGTGGGCTAAGAAGGACGGGGGCTATTACTCCCAATTTATTGAGATCTGCCAGAAACTGCAGAGCCAGGATTCAAACCCGGGTCCTCTAACACCACGCCTGGACTCTTCCCACTCCACTCCGGGGCTCCAAAAGGAAGATGAACGAAATCTGCTCACTTACCCAAGAACCCTATCCAGGACTCTTTTCTCTGTGCCAGCCTGCACAAACTAGCGAAACCAGGCCTTTCTCCCGATTTCCATGAGTCACCAACATCAGAGGAGGAAGCTGCCAGGACACACGGTTGTCCAGCATGACTGGTCTTACACCTTGTCTCGGAACTCACCTCTCGGCTATGGAAATCATCTCGGTGGGAAAGCACCACCCGCAGTCCTGGTGAGGGATTTGCTTCTCGGGTTGTCCTTTGAGCTTCTCCAGCCGCTTGGTTATGACTGCTTCTGACAGTCCGGAGTTCCACCCCGTTCTCTTCACAGCACCCAGAAAACTCACGGAAAAGGCAAACATCCAGTCAAATATTTACCAGAGAAATCGAAGCAAGCGGGTGGCCTTCTTCCTTGTTTCTGAACGCTGCTGGCTATTCTTCTGCTCTTCCTCCTCTTCTCACACTGAGTCAACAGGAACCTCCCTCCTACTTCCCCTCTCCTGGGCCCTTGTTGTCTCTTGTAGGCCCCTGCCATAAGCACTGGCCCTCTGAGCCATCAGAGCTTTGCCCAGCGGAGGCCTCTAACTGGCTGTAAAAATTATTACCAGCAATCCAGTAGGACTGTGCCTCAATATTTCCAAGCAATAAACGAGGAAACTGGAACCACTCACTGATTTTAAGATTCTCCTTGGAAACAAGGCCGCCCATTTGCTGGGAGAAAGGGTTGGAGACAAGTTAAAAATGAATCCCACATTAAAAAAAAAAAAAAGAATCCCACAGATATGGTGGAGAATGTGGTAAGACTTCTAAGTTACCATAATTGCCCATGGATTCTAAATGCCCACCCTGTTTCCAAATGATCTTCTGGGGCTTAATGGCAACTAGACTCCAGGGAGTCACTGCATCCATCAGCTCCTAAGCCAGTCTACGGCCCCACCACACTTTTATCACCCGTAAGTTGTCTGTGGCTCCTCCCCTTCTCCATTCATTATGCCTCCTATTGGTTCTTATCCATCCATCTGTGCCAGAGGGTTCAGGGTGTGGGTATGTCTTGTTCACTTCCTCTTTTTCCTTCTGCCAGCATGGAGTTGGTGTTCAGAATGGTGGAGCCACAACCTGGAAGGAGCCTGGGTCCCTGAATCAACACTGAAGGAGAACAGGAATAGCCGTTTAGCTTTTACATGAATAAGCAATAAAATTCTATGTTAGGACCATTATACACTTTGGAGTTGGCTATAGCACCTAGTTCTTATCCTAATCAATACACTGTATTTTCCATCCACACTGCTTCTGCCCCAGATCCAGTCCTCTGCACCTCCGGTCTAGACTATGGTAAGAGCTCTCTAATGGCCTTGCAGCTTCTAGGCTCTAAGCTCAGTGCATGCATACATACACCTCCCTGCAGCACAACTCAGATCTGTCACACCCCTGCCAAGCATCGTCCCATACTCTGCACTCCCGACTCGAGCACTCCAAGCCAAGCCTTCCAAGAAGTTGCTTTAACCCTCTTTTCCAGCCTCATCTCCACTGGTTTCCTACACACATCTACAGGGTTTTTTAAGTTGCTTATTCTGGATCTTCAGGGAGCAAGGAACAGAGATCTACTCAAATTGCCCTGAATTAAAGGGGCTTCCTATTACTCCCCGGCAAGGGCTGGGATCCAACCTGGGAAGGTGTTGGAAACTGAGGTTCTTGGGAATAGTTCTTCCCCTCTCGTGGCCAATGGGTTTCTCTTTCTCTCATCTCTCTCCCTCTTGGTATTTTGGCTTCAATCTATTCTCTCTGCAGTTCAGTCCCTTTGCTTCCTTATGATTTCCACTCTCCCCTGGTTTCAACTCAGCACTGTCCTGACTCTAGCTCACATCATCCTTTCACCTTCTACCCGCAAAATTCACTGGCTCCTTTCCAGGCTTTCCCAGGTCTAATTACCGGGAGAAAAGATCTACCCAGTTTATCTTTTCCCCCAGGTAGGACACAGGCTAGTCTATGCTCTTCTGTCTTTGACTCAATCCCACACCCCTTATATTCGTTTTCCTAGGGCTGCCATGACAAAATGCCACACACTGGGTGGCTAAAACAACAGACATTCATTATTTCACAGTTCTAGAAGCTGAAGTCCAAAATCAAGGTGTCAGCAGGTTTGATTTCTACTAAGACCTCTTTCCTTGGCTCGCAGAAGGCTGCCTTCTCACTGGGTCCACACACGGGCTTTCCTCTGTGCAGGTGCATCCCTGGTGTCTCTGTCTGTCCTAATCTTCTCTCCTTATGATGCCACCAGTCAGGTGGGATTAGGGCAGTGATGGCGAACCTTTTGAGCTCGGCGTGTCACATTTTGAAAAAACCCTAACTTAACTCTGGTGCCATGTCACATATAGAAATTTTTTGATATTTGCAACCATAGTAAAACAAAGATTTTGGTATTTATTTTATATATTTAAATGCCATTTAACAAAGAAAAATAAACCAAAAAAATGAGTTCACGTGTCACCTCTGACACGCGTGTCATAGGTTCGCCATCACTGGATTAGGGCCTCCCCTAATGGCCTCATTTTAACTTAATTTCCTCTTTACAGGCCCTATCTCCAAATACAGTCCCATTCTAAGGTGCTGGGGTTAGGGCTTCAATATATGAATTTGGGGGGGACACTACCCAATCCATAACACCCCTGGTCTAAGCAGCTCTGGTGGAGTGGGAGAGGGTCATGGAGGCAGTGAGCAGGCACCATCACTGACAAACTCAGGCCATTGGTGTTTGCCCACCTTGATCCCTTTACTCCCACCCAGAACACGATCTCCACCTCTGCTCCCCACCATCGTCTTTGTTCATTAAGTCCTACCTCAAGCATCATATCTGGCATGAAGTGTCTCCTGATCACCAGGTATAATCTTATTTCCCCTGGCTTGGTCTACATCTCTTTCACAGCATGTAGTTAGGCCTTTATCTGTTTAATGCATTTAACGCATATTTATGGCGAAGCAGTCTGGTGCAGGGGTTCAGAGTGTGGACCTTGGGGCCAACTCCACCATTTACTAGCTGTGTAGCTCTGGGCAAGGTACATGGTTAAGCTCTCTGAGCCTCAGTTTTACCTGAGATAAGGCACACCTGCTTGATGGACATGTGAAGTTGAAGTGACCTAATACACATACAACGCTCAGGAGGGGGCCTCACGTGCAGTAAGTGCTCAGTGGCATTAGCTGTTACTGGGCGCCTGTTCTCTGCCAGGTCCTGACTGCATGCGACCACACAGTCACGTCACAGTTCAGGTGTCCAGGTCTCAGCTCCCCTGCTAGATCACAGCGGCCAAGAGGCCACGACTCGACCTGATTCAGCATGACAGGGGAGGCCCCATAAGTGCTGGTTCTCAAAATTGAAAATAATGGAAGAAAAATGAAAAAGACAGAAATATAAAGACCGCGTACAACATCACTCTCTTCTACTGGGCGCCTGTTCTCTGCCAGGTCCTGACTGCATGTGACCACACAGTCACGTCACAGTTCAGGTGTCCAGGTCTCAGCTCCCCTGTTAGATCACAGCGGCCAAGAGGCCACGACTTGACCTGATTCAGCATGACGTCTCTGGGGTACAGGGGAGGCCCCATAAGTGCTGGTTCTCAAAATTGAAAATAATGGAAGAAAAATGAAAAAAAAACCAGAAATATAAAGACCGCGTACATCATCACTCTCTTTCTCGATGCCTAGAAACAAAGAAACACTGCAAATGTGTTTTCTCTGGAGCCAGGCCCTCTCTGTGCCTGGAAGAAGCAGTTCCTGGTGCATCCATGCGGTGTCGTTCAGGGAAAAGCCTTGCAAAGTGCTGCTTCTTCCAGGCGCATGGAGATGCTATCCCTTTGGGGAGCGCCCACCTGCCAGAAGCTTCCTGGCTCCACTGCTCAGGCTCAAATGGGCATTCTAAACTCTGATCATGCTAGTTCTTCTCACAATTCCTCTCTTCACACCCTTAAGGAAGAGTCATTTTGAACTGCACTGACCACCCTGGGGAGGTTGGGAAGGGAGCCACCTTCAAGGGGGAGAAACACTAAGACACTTGTTATGAAGTGTTTAAGTTCAGGAAAATTCCATCCATAGAAATAAGGACCCATTTCTAAGGGGTGACCATGCTGCAGACATGACCCCTTTTGAACCTGAAGTCAAACCTGTGTAATAGATTTCATTTTCCCTCTCCCATACTTTCTCAGTTTAGTGTTGAATCAAAACATAGAACTTACATGGATCCGGAGAATATGTCAACATTTGATTTGTCTCTATCATTCTAATCTATTGCCTCTCTTATCCAATGTGCACTGATTCCTTTTTAAGGCTTTGGGGCATTTGAATACTTTTGCAGAATTCATCCAGGTTATTGATAAAAACCTGAATAGAACAGAGCCCTAGAGCACTCCACTAGAGACCTCTTTCCAGGAGCCAGGTAACGATGCTGCAGGCAGCTGGCAAAGAGTGGGAAAGAGATGACTGACTGCACCCGAACTCGGGTTAGGAAGGGTTACTGTGTTTAGCCCTGTGTTCAGCAGGGTTCAGAGTTCCGGAGACTTGACGGAAGGAAATTCAGTAGTTCATCACAAAGACAATGCTTGTATCTCAAGTGCTGGGAGCCTATCACAAGACAGCCTCTATTTATTCTGTAGACCTATGGCTTAATTATTAAGCTCAGAAACAAAGTAACCAAGATATATGGAAGACCTAGTTCTTTGCTAGTGACATTGATAGCTTTCTGGGGTGGGTATGACCTTTGACTAAGAACATTTTTCTCTCTTTGAAAAACAATGAAACTAACCTATATTCCTATCCTGTCCCTTCTCTGTCACAAACAGGGCTGGCTCCTCCTGCTGGCAGAAGAAAGACAAACTCCTAAGCTGGGTATTCAGTGACTTTTGTGACGTGACCTCAATTTATCGTCACAGACTAGGCTCAACTCTGGGTAAGTCCACAGGAAAGCTGGACTGACGTCTCAGGTGCCACCCACCTCTCCTGCCCTCACTCATGTCACAAAGCACCCATGTGCCAAGAAGTATGCTAGTCCCTGAGGACAGACACACATCTTGTGCCCTCTTCCCAGGTTGGCCAAGATCCTGGCTTAAGCACAGTATCCTCCCTAGGGAGGTTTTGGTGCTTTTCAGTTTATCTCAGCTGGAATACTGAGGAGGGGAGAGATTACTGCACCAGAAGGCAGGCTGGACGAACGGCCAAGGTGGTGCTGCACAGGGACAGACAGGAGCAGCAGATCAGACCCTGCAGAGGCCATTTCTAGAGCCCCAGGAGGGGGACCCTTTAAAATGAAGGCCAACCAAACTGAAGCTGGGGTGACTATCTGTATGCATTCCTCTTCTCTCCTCTGGACCGAGAGCGCCTTGTTCCAGCACTTTGGCTCATTTGTATTATTAGAAAATGTTTATCAAACTAATGAATTAGGAACATCATTCCTAGATCTGTAATCCCTGGGCTGTCCACAAGATGGCGATTTGCACGGGTGGCACAACAAACTGCATTTTGGTGGAAGCCATAGGAAAAGATGCTGAAGGGAAGAATGGAGAAGCAGGAAAGACTTTCTGCAGACTTATCATCCTCTGCCCCGCCCCTGGCGGGAACATGCTATCCCCTCCATCCACATTTAAAGTATCTGCCTGTCAGACAGTAATGCCACCAGCACCAACCCTGGATTCCATGGTACCCAGCAGGCCAGGCAAGGCCAGTGATCTGGTCCTCTCCAGCCTCACCTCCTGCCTCCTGAGCTTCCACACCCCACACAGCTCTGCAGCTGGGCTGAGCTTTCTCCCCGCTCCCCACTGTACGGTGTTCTCTCTGCTCTTCCTGCCTTCAGACACACACTGTTCCCTCTCTCTGCCCTCCTTCCAGACAACTCCCACTGTCTCCCCAAGACTGTTTAGGAAGCACCTTTTCCAGAAAGCCTCCTAACCCTTGCCAGACAATAGACAAGCCTAAACTTCCTTCCATCCTCACTTTCCCCCATAATTCTATGGGCCCACAAGTGTTGCCCACAGTGTTAACTGGCTCTCTGGGAACCAGAGTTCACTCGGCTATGGGCTTTTGGGCAGTTTCAAAAAGGAAATGGATGCCAATCATCTTCAAAGCTTTGGAATGTTTTCTCCACCCAGATATCACAGGCTCAGGGATGGATAACTGCATTTTTTGTGCAATTAAACGCTGTGTGAAGTTTAAAAGTCTGAACCCAATCCCAAATATATCACCGTATCTCATTACAACCCAAATCACTCCTGACTTTGATATGCACCACGACTTTATGTAGTATTAAGGGGGGAAAGCTAATTAAACGATGCTTCTAACTATTTCAAGATGATAATAAGTGGGGAAACTGTGGGAAAAACCACAGGTGGAAAAACCAAGCACGGAATAATGTGCAGGGCATGCTGCTGTGTGTGTATGTGTTTAAAGAGAGGGGGCTATGTGATGACACTTTTTCCAGACAACTCCCACTGTCTCCCCAAGACTGTTTAGGAAGCACCTTTTCCAGAAAGCCTCCTAACCCTTGCCAGACAATAGACAAGCCTAAACTTCCTTCCATCCTCACTTTCCCCCATAATTCTATGGGCCCACAAGTGTTGCCCACAGTGTTAACTGGCTCTCTGGGAACCAGAGTTCACTCGGCTATGGGCTTTTGGGCAGTTTCAAAAAGGAAATGGATGCCAATCATCTTCAAAGCTTTGGAATGTTTTCTCCACCCAGATATCACAGGCTCAGGGATGGATAACTGCATTTTTTGTGCAATTAAACGCTGTGTGAAGTTTAAAAGCCTGAACCCAATCCCAAATATATCTCATTATATATTACATATATCTCACCATATCTCATTATAACCCAAATCACTCCTGACCATGAGATGCACCACGACTTTATATAGTATTAAGGGGGGAAAGCTAATTAAACGATGCTTCACTAATTGTAGGAGAGGCCTGATTTCAAGATGATAATAAGTGGGCAAACTGTGGGAAAAACCACAGGTGGAAAAACCAAGCACGGAATAATGTGCAGGGCATGCTGCTGTGTGTGTATGTGTTTAAAGAGAGGGGGCTATGTGATGACACTTTTATAGGCATACAAAGTTCCCGGAAAGACACACCAACAACCGGAGTGCCCTGTTGAAGCTGGTCTGGGGCATTGGGTGGAAGGGAAACCCCCGTGACATCACTACATCCATTTGTAAACTTTGACATTTTAAACCATATATTCCTTTTTAAAAATAAAACTTTGAAAAATGCAAAATAAAATGGCGCATCCTTCTGAGAGGATTAAGGAGCATAATATTTGGAGCCGGCCTTGGATCTGGAAACCGTATGTACAATACAGACTACATAGTGACTTCGGGCAAGTTCCTGCCCCGACTGCGTCCCAGTATCTCCGGGACCCAACTGCAGAGCGGCCAGGA